GGGGTTCGGAGGCTCTGTTTGAGATTCCCGCAGCGTGGATTAACCGGCCTGTCCACTCTGCTCCTACTCTTGTTTTTGCAACATATTCTAGGCCTTTCAAATCCAGCCGAGGACTTTACAAACTGGTCAAAGGGTCATTAAAAGATGTTTTTAGCTCTGGTTACTTCCTCACAGACTCGGATCCACGACTCTTTTGTAGAGATTTCGCTCATGTACTTTTTTTTCACTTCCTTTGTTTAAATTTGTATTTATATGTTTAATAAAACAACTTCTGATGTGTACTTCCTCTGGGCTCTTCTGTCTTTCTTGGCAGTGTTTAGTCACGCCACACCTTTTTTAGTTTTACTGTAAGAGCGAAAGAAAGACGGTTGTACTTCTTTGCATTTGAGCGACTGAAGTTTGAGGAAGGATGTGGTCGGGCCGGGTGTCAAACTGAAGAGTCGTGCCGTCAGTAAGAACCAAAGTAACGTGGATCAATGAGCCGCTGCTGAAAGTGAAGCGAACGCAGCTATGTGACACGTGTAAATAAGGAAGGATACGCCATTACACGAACGGGACGGGACTTCAGGAACTTTTCACTGTTGGAGCAGCTCCAGTTTGACGAGTTCACAGCGTCCTCCGCTTGACTGATGTGACCTTTAAAGGCCTGTTTGGCCACATTTAATTTAACCCTGCTGGGCTCTTAGCCAGGCATCAGCCATAACCTTCAAATGGTTCAAATGATCAGTTATAAAATACATTTTTCCACATTATATCAACATGAAGCAGTTAGCCTACAGTGACCACAGTCTGCTCACACGGGTGCTGAAGACAAAATATTCACAGCATATTCTCAGTGGTTTGCTGGAGAAGAGCCTGGAACGGTGAAGGCGGAGTTTAAACACCTGGAGACCAGGTGGAGATGAGTGACGGGGTGGCAGCAGGAGGGAAAGGGCAGGTTGGTGTGAGACCTGCTCGCTGGGTGTTTGTACACGGTGGAGTTTAAAGATGGCCGATGTTAGTTTGTCTCACGTTACACTGGCGACACGTGTTTATATTAAATGCTGCCAATGAAAATAAACGTATGTAAAAGAAATCTCAGTTGGCTTCCAGCACCCTGATCGAACATCAGGTCACAGCTGAGGCTTGAGTGAGCTGAACGCCAGCATGTCCGTGTACAAACACTGACCTGACCCGGCTTCCTGAATCACACTGAATGTGCTGACACCTGAACTCAGCTTCTGCTGCCACAGCCTCACCTGACGGCGCCTTTGATGCTACGCCTGGATTTAAAGCCCAGTTAGTCACTCATGTGACTGGTAGTTTAAACAGAAAGCACAAAAAAGTCAAAGTCAGTCTGCATTAAAAGCTTCTGCACGGAGACTTTAATGCACGAAGGGAGTCGCCTGTTTGGTTTCAGACACGATGATGTGTGTAAAACAATCACTGAGGGGAAAGAAAAATCTGACAATCATAAAGACTTTATGTTTACATTGTGTATTTATAGTGTTTTTTATTCAGGTCCTGATCTATAAACTTCCAGGACTGGAAAACAGTTTAGAGTTCCCAGGTTTTCCAGGCTGCCTGGAGTCAGACTGAAGCACAGACCTAATGTGTTGAAAGACAGGAAGCTTCAGGAGTTGTAACCGCACCTCTCCCTCCTGCTTTTGTATTTACTCATCAGCGTGTCCTTCCTGCTCGCGGCCTCGTGTTCCTGTTAACAGGAAGTACTTTTGTTGCTGGTAGTGATGATGTAATTCCCCACATGATGCAACAGCTGAGTCCTGAATGTGTGAATGTGTGTGTGAATGTGTGTGTGAATGGGTGGATGATTGTGTATAGTGTAAAGCGCTTTGGGGTCCTTAGGACCAAGTAAAGCGCTTTACAAATACACACCATTTACCATCCTCGCCTCGCTGACAGATCAACACGACAACAACACAACTCTTCGTTCTCACTGCTGCTATAAAAATATATCCTACTACTACAAAGTTA